ACTCGGTGTATGTCTGTAAGGTGGTTATCACCAAGGAAAGACTATCTTTCGAGCAATTTTGTTCGATGAAGTCGAGATATGGCTTAAAGAGTGTCAACTCGATCTTGGGGGTATGTCGACTGAAGTTGAGAATCAAATTAAAGACTGCTTCCATTACTATAGGCTTCTGTATCTTCAAAGCAGTGACTAAAACATCCTTCGCACAAGTGTTAAAGACAGCGTCGCGCATTTGGACGCCTTCCACGGTGATGTTGGAGAGAATGTTTAAAACATTTTCTAAAACATTTTGGTCGTATAAGTAGGGTTTGAGGACTTCAATGATGTTGGAGTAATATAAGGCATTGGTGAGATGAGACTCTGAAGAAGAAATGTTTGTTAAGATGTACATCACATCACTAAGTAAGTCGGAAGGCAATTGCTGTGTTAATAATTGAATCAATTTCTTATGACAATTGTGTGTCACGAGTAAATCATAGAACTTCTCTTCGGCTTCAGAAGGCTCAGTTAATGTCGTGTCTTTCGATAACTGTTTCGAAGTCAGCCGAATCCGTTTAACTAATTGAACTATCTGATTCGGATCGGTCGAGACGGTAAACTGCTTTAAAACTTTCACATCCTTCGCATCAAAACCAAACTTCTCATAGAAGTGCGTGAACTGCTCATTCATCGTGTCAGAACCTCGCATCTTCATAAGGCGCTGCTGACGCAGCGCCGTTCGGTCATGACAATTTTGAGCGGTGCGAAGACGACATACTTCACTTAAATCAGTGTTTTGCGTGCGATACATCAATACAATAAAAGTGATAGGGTTTAAAACACTTCTAAAGGCATGGAATATAACAAATTCTATATTTAATAATATTTTTATAAGTAATTGTATTATTCACTGGAGTTTATTTGTATCGATTTGATAAGTGGTCTGTTGCACTTTTTGTTTTCGATGAGTTTTTCGAAGAAATGGAGATGCGTCAATTATAAAATATAATAAAGATATTACTATTTATTTTGGGTTTTAAAAATAGCATTTTAAAAATATTATAAATTATAGTAAATAAAAGTAGGTGTGAAGGACAAATTCTATAAACGATTTATTATTTGTTTATCTCCATAAGTTCTTTGGTAAAGTTTTGTAAAAAAAACTATTCAAAAAACCATTAGTTTGTCGTTCTAAAAACGCCACGTCATAATTTTATTTCTGCCACAAAACATTTTAATGTTTAACCATATTTAAATTATAATTAACTATAACTGAATGGTTAAAACAAATTTGAGTGGTTTATATTTATTGAAATTGAGCGAAAAGAAAAAGTCAAAATAATGAAATCTATCAGATGGAGATCGATAGTATAATTATAGTATATAGAATTAAAAAAATGGTTTAATAAGAAGAATCTTCTTTGATTAACGACAAGAGGAACTCAAGATTATATGTCAACACAACAAGACAAACTAAACACATTATATTCGTTTTGGCGAGAACGTGGGGCTGTCGCACAATTTCCCGAATCAAAGACACTTCAGATGTCTTTGAACAAGTGTGTTTGTTTCTTCTAATTTTTTACGGAGAACTCACAACAAAACTCCAATCGTTCCGACCTAAAAAGTGATAAAAAAACAACAAAAATTGAAATGAAAAAATTGTTCACCAAAAATTAAAATGGTCGAGTAGATAAAACCTGATTTTTTTGCTCACCTGAACAGTTTTGGAAATTTGAATTGTTGTGTGTAGTAGTAAATTTATAGTTAAAAACCACTAACATATAGAAAGACAGCAAATCTGTCAAAAATTGGCTTTGGAAAGATTTTCTTGGGATGAGTAGTGGTGTTGACGAAGAGAAAATGGTCTTTTTATTAAAATTATTAAAAGATGAGTGGGACCAATCAAAAGTTGACGAAGATTGTGTTCAAGGGAATCCCGATTTTTTACGGCGCTGTGTGTCGACCTTTGAAATTCGTTCCGACCAAAAAAATGATGAGATTGAGATGGACGAATTCAACGAATCCAAAATAAAGCATGCGTCCAAGAAATTGATTCCCCTCGTGAATGGGTGTCAAATTAATTTAGTAGAAGTGTCTCAAAGCAAACAATTCGAGCAACGCGAACTTGAGTGTGATAAGTCCACGCAAGCCATCAGTCCACGTAGTCGAGGCAACACCATTCCGTCACAACAAGAAGATTCTCCATTTGACAACATGAGAAGTGATGAGATTCAGATTGAGAGACGGAAAGAAGATGTAGATAATGTCTTAGAACTTCTTGACCAACAACCACAAAGTAATTCCAAACCGTTTCCACAATCACGACAAGATTGTGATACGAAAGAGCGACGGGGGTATAAAAAGAAAGTTAATGTGATGGGTCTTGACCACTTAGAAAAAGACGAGAAAGTTGATTCCCAACTTTTGAGTTTTCAAACTCTTTCCAAAACTGAGCAAAATGCCGACAAAGTAGATTTCCCCGAACCCTCCGCCTTTCTCGACCACCTCAAAATTGAAAAAGTCGAAAAACCAGAAAAAGTTGAGAAAATTGAAAATCCGGACCAGTCGATTTCGTCTCTTCACAAATCGAAGGACGTCGAATTTACGATGGAGTGTAAAGGGGACAAATCGAGTCAAGTTTCCATAGAGAGTAGTGCGACAGGTCCGATGCGATTAAGTCGGAATCAAGTTGAAGTGATGGGTTTAAAAGCTCGGATCAGTGAATTAGAATTGATCATCGATGAGATGCAGAAGACTACTCCACGTGGGCAGCAACCGTCGTTATGGCGATCGGAGAGGAGTTCCCCGTCCGACCTATCGAACTCGACGAGTCCGCGGTTGAAAGACGGGAAGACCAAAAGTGAGTTGAAAAAGTCGTTTTTTGGCTTATCGATGAAGAAGAAGAAACTCGAGACCGAGCGCAAGAAATTAGTTCGTTCGAATTCCGCGAAAAACATCGAAGAGCCAAAAAGTGATCCGAAGAA